CTTAGGCGACCAGACCTTCGATCTCCCAACTGCTGCCCCCCCATCCACAGGTCCGATTCCCTGTCAATCTTCCCTCCCCAGCCATCCCTGCCGGCAATGTCGCCGGCCCTTCCACCAACCCCACCACCAAGTCCTGGGACAAGGGGAAAGGTAAGGCCATCTTCGCTGACCCAGACCCCGAGGCAGAAGGGAGTAAGAAGAGGAAGTCCCCCTTGATTTCTGGACTCTCCTCCCAACCCCCGAAATCCGCGATGAAGAGTCACAAGCGTCAGAGGTCTGCTCGCATTGTGAAGTCCAAGGCCATCGTGGAGTCAGAAGATGATGAAGACTCGGTTATGCAGGTATGTCGTCTTGTTCATTTTTTCATTGTCTCTCATTTTCGTGTAGCCACCTTTGGGTGGAGTGCCGGAGGTCGTCCTTCCCCGGCTCTCCACAATTGTCGCAAGGACGCCTGATTCACCTCGCTCGCCCCGGGTACCCAAGAAGAAGCCCTTTGGCCCTGCCACAGTAAGTGTCATTTATGTGTCTGGGACTCGGGTGTGTGCTTACATTATACCAGGTGATTGCCGGCAGTCACACAGCAGTTGTAGAGCCCTCCCAGCCCACTCCCGAACCTCCGGTGCAGGCACCCCCAGTCATCCCTGCAGTTGACATTCTCATTCCCGGACCGGTGAGTACTTTGAAATATCTCATGTGTCCATACACAAATACAACCAACAGAACAACCCATGCTATGCTTGCCACAAGCACAACTGGCCTTGCGCAACTCGGCCGGACAAGAGGACCGGGGCTCCATGTATGTCGTGCGTCTACTGCACAACAAAGAAGATCAAGTGCACCCCCGCGACTATGTGTCCCAGAATATGACTCTTCCAGCAACATGGATGTTGAGGTGGAGGTGAAGGTTGAAGAGTCTTCTGTGGAGGTTGACATGGCTACATAATTGCATAGTGATAGATGTATATACAAGTTTTCAATGAATGTAACCTCTGCCAGTCCATTGATTGAGTCACTGAGTTCCGAGTCCCGAGTCCCGGAATTCGGCACTCGGGACTTGAGACGACAGATTTGAAACTTGAAACTTGAAACTCGAAAGCACTCGAATCTCGGGTCTCGGTACTCGGTATTCGGTACTCGACACGATGCTCGAAACTCGTAGAACTGTTTCGAATCACCGAGTACTGACTACCAAGTGCTGAGACCCGAGATTCGGTACTCAGGACTCGGGACTCGACACAATGCTCGAAACTCATAAAACTGTTTCGAATCACCGAGTACTGACTACCGAGTACCGAGTACCGAATCTCGGGTCTCGGTACTCGGTACTTGGTATTCGGTAGTCAGTACTTTTGAGTTTCGAATTTGAGTTTGTTCCAATCTTTCGTCTCACATGCCAAGTGCCGAATTCCGGGTGTCGGGTGTCAGTACTCGGTTCTCGGTACTCGGTACTCGGTACTCGGTGATTCGAGTCTCGAGACTTGTGACTCGTGATTTACAAATCGACATTTGAAACTTGTGATTTCTGAGAACAATGTGTATTATCTTATGTATTTCTGTACTCATTTCACCGACTACCGAGTGCCGAATCTCGGGTCTCAGGTCTCGGTATTTCAAGACAACAAAAATGTATATCATCTTAAATTTGAATTTTCTTAACTCGAGACTCGAAACTCGTAAAAATGTACAATACCTAGGCCTATCTGTCTATATGATACGTATCTGGGCCCACCCGTCTATCTAATAAATAATTCACCTCACCCTTGGCCCACCCGTCTATCTAATATTACCCGACGTCGGCCCACCCATCTATGTAGAATTCCCCACGTCGGCCCACCCTGTCTATGTAATAAATAATTCCCCTCACCCTCAGCCCACCCGTCTATCTAATAAATAACTCACCTCACCCTCAGCCCACCCGTCTATCTAATATTACCCCACATCGGCCAACCCGTCTATGTAATAAATAATTCCCCTCACCCTCGGCCCACCCGTCTATCTGATATTACCCCACATCGGCCCACCCGTCTATCTAATAAATATTTCACCACTCCCTCGGCCCATCCGTCTACAAAATAATACTAATACGTCGGCCCACATGTCTATATAATACTACTTGCTATACATCTCTCCTCAGGTCTATAATATATGTCAATCCTACTCTACATATTACCCACATGGGCCCACCCATCTCCATAATAATATTTCTCCCGGCCCATCCGCTATCGTCGATGATATATATAACATCAGCATAGATGGGCCCACCTGTCTCCATCAGAAATAATATGCCTCCCGGCCCACCCGTCAACATCGGGAATATACATAACATCGGCCCATAATCCGCTGGCCCGTATTACACGGGATATTATGTAGGTCGGGTGACCCGTATAATACGGGATTTGTCACTGAAGGGGCTCGGGGACGTACCTGGGTTGGGGTCTAGTAAGACTTGGCGAGCTCGAATGGCCGCACGTCCTACTGCCTGGTCCACCTTGGGGGGGAGGTGGGCCATGGCTATGGAGCTGTATGTTGGTTGAGTGCTTGCTTGCGTGGTTGGAGGAGTCGAGAGCATCTGGGTGGATAGGTTGTTGATACGTTCTTGCGTGGTGTCTAGAGAGGGTGTGTGAGTACTTTGATGGCGTTCTGGCAGTCCGTGACTGATGCATAGAGAGCATCTGCTGCCTCCTTGAGGCGTTCTGCGGCTATTGATACCCCTCCTTCCTGCTCCGTACATTCATCTCTTGCTAATTTGTGAAGTGGACCAGGGTATCCTCTGCCTTCTGGGCCATATTCGCTAGTGCTTGTGAGGCTGCTGTGGACTTCGGCTACTTGGGGTGCCAAAGCTGCTATGGTGTGGTCTACCAACCAGTAAGTTAGAGACTCGGCCAAAGAGTCAGCAAGGGTAGTAGCCAGATATTGGGCGGCTGCGTCTGCTATCTCGCAAGTGATGTGTTTCTTCAAAATGAATGCTACAGCCCTGATTGCAGTGATAACTGGTACTGGGGTGGCCGAGGACATCTGGGTGATATAGAACAGGATGGATACTAGGTGTGTTAGCGTATATGGCTGGCCTTCTTGACATAACATTTTGGAGGTTAAGAAGTTTTTAGTGCTGTCGGTGTCCATGACATTGCTAGGTGTTGCTATGATGTCTTCAAGCGAAGTGGTTGTCTGGGTGGTTTTGCAGGTGTTGGGGCCAGTGGTTGTGGATGGGGAGGTAGGTTTGGGTGGTCCTGTACCGCTACCAAATGACGGTTTTCCTGGGGGCATGTTAGTTTGGTCTCTGTTTCTGTACTTGTCTATTATTTTTGAGGTTTTCTATGTTTTTAGTGAGTCTGGGGAAAAGGTCTATGTATGTTAGTATGCTGTGTAGGGGCACCGTTTGGCGGCCCCTCGACGCTGTTGAGCGCTGTGAAAGAGAAATAGCTACTAGGCGCATTAGAAACTAGCGCTACTTATCCAAATAGGCGCGAGTGTAGTATTCGACCCAAGAGGACTGCTATTGAAGCAACTCCCTTCAAATATGCAAGGGTAGCGATGATGATGCAAAGGGCTAATAACCTATAGCGACCTAAGACCAAAAACCAATGAGTAGCGCTGTAGCGATCAGTGACTAGCGACAAGTGAGTTCTGACAGAGAAATGTGCGTATAAGTGAGGAGCGCTATGCAAGTTGTCCTATGCGATAGCACTATGCGACGTCCGACTAGTGACAGCGAGAAGAAATTAAAAGAAGGGAAAGCGAGGAATAAGGTATGATAGTGCAAGTGGAATGCCCGATAGCGACTAGATTATAGCTCGACTACCGACAACGATCCCGACGTTGCAAAAATCAAACTTATGAGGGGACTTTAGCGACACGCACTCAAAGCAAGTCAAGCAACACGCGATCAGAGAGATTGGCAAGAGCGGAATCGATTGCACCAAATCTAGGATATAGCGACTAAAGTGACTCCGACACCAGCAAAGGTCCGGGGAAGGGAAGTACTGTACTGTATGTGCGACGGGTTGTTTTATCATACTGCGTAAAAGTTCAGGAATGCGTAGGTGAGAATAGTAGCGACACTGATGAAGGCACGATGTAGCGACAGGTAATAAGACATGCAGCGCAGCAGAACACGAGGATGCATGTAATAAGACCTGCAACTGATGAGTAGCAACATTTAAGGAAAAATAACGCACCAGCAGAGGTAGGTGGACATAGGCAGGACATGGGAGGATGGAATACCTAGGCGTCGGGCCGGGCAGCGCGCTATGGGAGAAAAGCGGTTCCAAAGTGGATCGCTTGTGAGCTAAATAGCGCTGGTGACTAGCGTTTTACTCCTTTCCTCAAGGTAAGGCAAAGTGTGCCTATGACACTCATACGCACCTAGCGCTGGTATGATTGTCACAGCGCGATGTTGAAATTGAGTTTCGGGGTCCTAGTCGGGGTGCCACTTGGTTCAGGTCCAAGAAGCGATCAAATGAGGTTTATGGGCCAAAGGCACTTGCGACTCGTGCCATCAAGGCCCATGAAGAGCAGCATGCCCAACTGCAAGGCTAGTTTATTTTTATTAGCCAATTTCAAAGACTTACAGTTCTACTTCTACAGCGATGTCCCCTGAGGAGTGCCATAGGCTTGAGGCACTTGCCCAGCAACAGGCAGGTAGCCACACTTTTGACATGGACTATGACAATGACAACACGGACTTTGGCAATATATTGGATGGCACTCACACAATTGAGATCAGCCATGCAGGAGGTGAGCTTGAGGATCTCGCAAGAGAGATAACATATTCACTAACCTTGCATTGATAGAAAATCTGCAAGCAAACAAAAATGCTGTGTGGATCACCAGACTCGCAGGGATCACATTAAGTGCCATGTTGATGCCTTTGATCAACAAATGTTTGGACTTACTCAGCACAGGTTTAGAAGCTTCTTAGAGGTTCATAGGACTCACTGGTCGCATGTGGATCCTAACTCAAGCTCTTGGGATGTTCAAGTCATTGATGTTTATTGTAAGTTTCATTTCCGGATTGCATCTATTGGCTAACATATAATTTAGACGCTGAGAAGGTCTCAGTAACTATTGCTTCAACCAACCACTTTGTCCGCATCTGCTCTCATCTGCTTTGGCATCATCCCTTGCTCCCCGATATCACCATCTGTCGCTCTTTCTATAGATGCTTTGGAACTGTACCATGTGGCTTGGTTGCGGAATCCTCACTTTTCTATTCAAGCATTTGTGAAGTCCATTTGTGACTTGCATGGTGTAAGTCTGTTTTGCTTGTTATATTGGCATCGCTCACTTTTCACTCAAGACTGTCTTTCATAGGTACTTATCATGCCAATTTTCAATATCATTTGACCTCTATCTGCAATTGCAGACTCGTGTGGACTCTCTCATCAATACTGCGATCCATCGCAATTCTCCTGACTGGCATTTGAGGAATGCTTGCCCCTGCTGCACGTATGAGCTGCAAAATGAGCCTACAATGACTTTCCGCCTGCTCTATGCCACGGATGGCAATGACTCACTCAAGAGGGTCTCGCAACGACTGATAGGCGCTGATGGAAATTATTTGGGGCCATCAATCAAACTTCCTACTACACAATGGGTGTGCAACAATTGTTATCTTTCTCAGGAGTATGTTGATATGTACGCGAGTCCAGCACAAAGTGAGGAGTATTCGGTAAGACCATGCTTTCATTTTCAGAAATTATGTACATTGACAACTATCTACAGGTAGAGCATTCTGACGAGGAGAACCCGTGTGCTGGGTGATGGAAGAATATGGACAATGAGAAGACAAAGAGATCATGGGGGGTTTACGATGAAACAGGCATTTTCCTTGCTGTCTGTCATCATGGTTTCTGTTTGCTTATCGCCGACATGGTCCAAAGTGGTGAACTGTAAGTCGGACTTCGTTTCTTTCAAATTTGTACTGACATTTTCATTACAGTGCTAAGTATCCGCTTTCCGTTGTCGCCAAGCTGCTTGATGCCTTTGGCACAGATCTGAGCAGTGGGTATGATACTGGATGTCAATTTAAAACCACCCTTGACAATAGCGCATTAGGTCCGCTCACTTGCTCTCTTAATCATACTTGTTTGGTCGGAGTCTTCCATGGACACGCACACAAATGCCTCTGCCAGTTGTATCATCTCGCAACATATGTATCTGGTCTTGGACTTGAGGACCTCGAAACTTGTGAACGCACCTTCTCAAAATCCAACACTCTAGCATCAACACTTCATTATGCCAGTGTGTTTCACCATCAGCAGCTCATCACAGCATATTTCGAGCATAACGATGAGTATGAAGTCTATCCCAGTCTTGGTAAGTTTTTTCGTGACTTAGTTCAAACGCAACAGTCTGATTCAACCTTAGGAAACTTTCTATATAATAACTACAAGCAGGCGCTGGACATTCTCTCAGACGGTGAGATCAACCTCAAGAAGCTCATGCAAGACATCCATATCCCGGTGTGAAAAACACAACCTGACTAGGCACTTGTGAAGGTACTCAGCCAGTATATGTCTAAGCTCTGCCTATGCTGCTATACTTGCAAACAATAAATCAAGAACGTTCGACCCAAGGGAAAAGCTACTAAGGACAACTCAAGATAAAAAGACCCAAAAGAGCGCTAAAGTGCGGGAATAGCACGTCGCAAGATAGAGCGCTAATGCGCAGGAAAGAGCGGAAGTCAGGAAAGCGGACACTGAGTCAAAGGAGGGTAATGGATAGCGAGTGTGATCAAAGGTATTGATTGCAAGGGAAAGTCAAATAGGGGCCATAGAGCACAACTAAAGGGTGACTACTTCTAAGTAAAACCTAAGGGAAGGAAATACAGTCGAAGGGAAGTAATGTCAAAGTAGTCACCATAGGCTTCTTATACTAGTAAACTATACCATCTCGGACTCGGAAGGGATAGGATATACATGTAATAAGACTGTAGCACTTTTTACAAACTCGAGGCAAGGCAAATTACATACCAATGAGGTAGGATGGACCATGGATGGATTCTGACATTTCGGGTGATTCCTAGAGCGCGAGAACAGCGCGCTGGACTAGCGCTAGGCACGGGAACAAGCGCTAGATAGAGCAGACATGCACTAATGCTCTTATAGACACATTGCTGGTAGTTCTGATAGCGCTATAAGCGTGGGAATAGCATCGGATAAGTCGCGGGAGCATGAATAGCGCTGCGGGAATGTGCGCGCATAGTGCGGGAAAGTGCGGAATAGCATCGGACAAGGGTTATGGCTGAGACAAGTGAAGACTGCTGATAGGGGAGTAGTGAATGATATGAGGGATAACTTTGGTCCACCTATTGAAGGCTTATGCAGGTATACATGCCTAGCGCCAATATGATTGTCACACCGGACAAGTCTGTGTTTGAACAGTGGTTGCAAGAAGAAAGGGATTACCTGCATGGCCTGTGCAGTGAGCTGGAACACAAGACATTGCAGATGGAGTATTGGCAGAAGTTAGTGAACCTTGCTGCTAGCCAGTAAGTCTTTCTTTCGCTGACTCTACGTGTACTAACATTTTCTTGGGGCCAGGAATAACCTTGACAGCGCAAGATCTATCTGGGCATCTGCAACACCATCAAGCGCTTTGTTTGGCACGACAGACGCTGCCACAACTCACAGAATGGAGACGGCCCACAGAAAAGAAGATATCAACATGCTCTCGATACTTTAGAAGGATTAGTTGTCACTCACATCTTTGAGTTGACAAAAATGAATCGCTCTGGTACAGGTGACTGTTATTCTACTTGACTGTGGCTTCTTTACCTGATGGTCCCTTCATCTAGGCTACAAATTGCGAAAGCACATCGCAAAGGTGTTGCAGACTCGCTCTGCAGCCATTCACACAGCTCTCAACCAGTATAATACAGCAGCGCTTGCGCTCACTCCACCTTGTCGAACTCTTAAATGGGATAAGGTAATTGAATACACATTCCTGGCCAACTTTGACCTACTGCAAGACACTCAGGAAGACATGTCAGAGCGTCCATGGGCGACACCAGCTGCTCGACAAGCAATGGACCTGTACTTCAAGATGTGTCGTGCCAAGGAGGAGATACTTCACGTCAACGTCGAGATTTGATGTCTCGTAATGTACATTTGAGATGAGGACCACTACTTATGTGCTTGTGAAGCACAAATGCTGCCATCAGAACCTGCACTTGCTTATCAGATTGGTGCTCAAAGTCTGATACGTGGTAGGGCCAATGGCCACCTTTTGCGGCATCTGGCACAGTTTTCCAAACTCCCTGGATTCAGCAGTTGTGTGGTTCCTGGAGAAAGTTCCAAATCGTCTCCTGGGGATAGCGCCAGCACAGCGCAGATTGTCATTCCAGCTCACATCCACATGCACAATACCATCACTCAATCACTCACTATTCCATCTCATACAGATGTCCTAGAGGTTCAGGATGAACTGGAGGAAAAAGAGGAAGATTCTGAAGTGGTAGAAGCGGCTGCACAAGCCCTACATGATGTTTTGCGGGTGTCTGCAGACTGATTCATTTGTACTTTGGCATGTTTGGGAGGGGGAGGGAGAGCATGTCCTTAGGAGGGGTTCCAAAACATTTGTGACATATATTTCAATAGAATTGTATACAGTATGCTTACCATGACATTGTGCAAAAAATCTGACGCGAAATGGTGAAGGGAAGGGCTGATATGCGAGCTCACTGTGGTAGACAGCGAGGACGAAGGTTTACGGGACTTGCCGAACGTCGTCGGGGTCAGGAACGTCACATTGCCGGTGGGAATGATATTAATAGCATGCCGGGACATTGCCGAGGTACCTAGTGCCTAATTAGTACCAACTACTGTTGATTTTTGCTAAGTGCCCACGCTAAATACCCAGCAATCATCCATCCAAGCGCTATATTGCTGTATCTACTTGTACTTAGAGGCGCCCAGGCAACCAACATCCACATCTAATTACAAGAGTTACGTGGGAGTCACAGGTCAACACGGTTAGGTCAAGCAAGGTTTCTGCCGACGTAGGCGGCAATTCTCGAGTTAATAACATGCTTGTTAATGACCCTACGCAACCACTTGATTTTTAACATAGGTTAATAACATTGGGATGACTTATCATCCGTACCCTAGCCAGTACGCTGCCTGCTAGTCTGGATGTTCTGAAATCAGGTCATTCAGGTCGCTTTGCACTTTTCCTGATGTTGGGAAACTCAGCATTCGGGATTACTAAGCAACTAGTGCCGACGTTGCCGCTGCATTGTCTTCCTTGCTTACGCCCTGGCCTCAGCATGGTCGCCACAAAATCATTCTGACCTTTCTTGCTGACGTACTCGATCCCGGGCCCCGGCAGTAGCAGTCACATCCCAAAATTTTCCTTCTTCCAGAGGTAATTGTAGGCTATATCCGACACGATCATTTATTTTCTCCGGACGCACCGGGATAACCTATGACGGAAGTCGATCTGGTTAGCAAGCAGGCCAAAGACACCAACCAGTGACAGTACGACACGGAGGAGTGTGTCGATAAATTTATAACTAGGTTCTCACTTTGAGCTCACTCTTGGATCTCGCTGAGATCCAGGATGCGATTTGAAGACAAGGTTACCCTTGGACATTGAATATTGGCTTCTTGGAGTGCGGAATGCGACACGTGGGGAAGCATGACTGGCAAGACGGGATAATGAGGCCAGCGTAACACGGGAACTAAACGGTAAGAAATTTGCACGGCGCAGTAGTCAGAATGACGCTATGACGTAGCAGGATATGGGTTCAAGCAAGGTCACTGTGAAGTGAGCGGGAAACATGGAAGGCATGCGGTGAGCTATTGTCAGTTCATTGTATATTCAAGATAATGTCTAACGGAATGCACTCCAGATGCTCAGTCTATACTGTATATAAGCTGTGGCGGGAAACGCATGCAGAAGCACATTCGGATAAGCAAAAATTCCAGTGCACTTCAAGACTGAATTGACTGGAAAGTCCGTTGCACCCTGGTGAATGCGCGTCGGGTCCTGCTGAGAAACATCGAATCGTAAGTGATGACTTCGGACTGCCATGGGTGAAAAGCCTTGTTGGCACTGCGCTTGGTAGTCGTTGAGTATGTTAACATTTATCACTCCGTCACGCTATGACTAATTATTCCGAACCGTACGTTTTGAACGATATGACACAGTATGACACTTACTCGTTTATTCATGCATACCAGTCCGAAGGCAGAGGGCCATTTCATCCAACAATCAAATTGAAAACGATCACGCTGGGTCGCCAGCAAGGTCACCACGCTGGCATAGTACCCAGGGGCATACCCTATGTATCATGCTCGAAGCTACTTCAGATCCAAAGGTATGTTTAATGCCACGTAACTTATGCCGCGTCGCGACCACGTTATTTCACCTGGCCCAATCCACGGACCACAAGTATATCAAAAAGGAACCTGTCTTCCTTCGTCCGCCCACTAGTAAAGGAGACCGGTAGGGCGGACGATCTGACATGGATATGAAATTTTCGTTTGCTGATGTGTGCGCTGCTGGCGGTTTCAATTACTGACCTTAGTCATCGAAATCAGAACCGGATTGAACGGTACCCCGAGCCATATATTGGCAACGATGGTCGCAAGCAGGCGTGCAGGGCTACCCTCAGCACGGCCACTGTTCACGAGCCAAAATGGGCATGAAGTGCCGCCTGCGAGTCATCAATTGGTCTTCAATTTGCGAACGATATATATATTTATGGCCAACGTCTTTCTCAAAGTGCTTCGGCCTATTTGCTGTGCTGTTCTTATAAGTATATCTTCCTATCTTGATCATACTATGGTCACGTCTCACGGTCCAGCCATTCCTCAGGCCTCGGTTTAAGTGCTATGTATAATTCATCTGAGGACTGCCGCATCTGATGCACAAGTCCGTTCTTCTGGCATCCAGTCACGTTTCGTCACCAGAAAACTGTACTTTGTGATCCTTTATCCAGAACCTCCGAGTCATGCATCCTGTTGTTGATATTCCAATCCAATCGTTCGATTTGGAGTTCACTTACTTTCCTCATTGGTGGGCTTGCAAAATAAGTACTGCCATAATTTTCGTGAGTCCTGCACGCCTTAAGAGCAATTTAACCTCATCCTAGCGCTACGCCGCGGCTGTTGCTGGCATCTTATATCACTCTAGAGCGATACCAGCTCACTTTTCCGCGGCTTCGAAGAGTTTGCGGTGGATCATGGGATTGAACGTGCAGCGTCCCTTTGTAAGGTGCTACAACTCAGTACTCCCATGCCTACTACAAAGGCTAAGGCGGCGATATAAAGTGTTACCGTCATTGCCTTAGCCTTTGTAGTGGGCATTCTATGCGCTTGTTGTCGACAAGTTCCCTACATTGGCACTTGACGGTGAGTTTACGCCACTTTTATCCCCAGGGTCAGTCGTGACTGCGGATGTTTGTGAAAATCAGGTTTGTATATCAGGCAACTTCGGTGACATCTATGTTGACGTTTGGCATTAGGTATCATCATATTTGTAACCGAGGATAGGTGGCAGTCATCTTATGATTTTGTTTATCTAAACTCATATGCATGACGCCCACCCTCGGAACTTTGATGCTTGGGTTCCAGGCAGTGCTCTTATTTGTATTTGAATGCAATAGTTCGGCTCCGCTGGCATCCTGTTAAAAACTCTTGTACTACCGCTCTGAAGCAGCTGCATACTTGACTTTCAATAGTTTGAAGCTATACTCGCAGACCTCTTTACGTGGTGGCACGCAGTGTGAAATTTCTAATCAAGCGATGTATGTCATAGGCTGTATTGCCTGGGAAGCTCATTGCGTTTAATGACATCTGGTGGTCGCCGATGCCGTTCACTCTTTCTTATCAGCAGACCTGAATTGGTGTCGATGCGGTACCTGGAACAATTTCTCACCTTCCCGAGGCGACTGGCCGTGAAGGCTCCTGTCACCGAGGAATCATAGTGCCTACAATCTCCACCCATGACCTGCACCCACCCAACCTTCTTCAAAGGTGTGAGCGGGACATCTTCGAGAAAGCATACCGCCCGCCATCGCAGTGGAGCTTGCTGCAAGTCCTTGAGGCTGAGGTCTGCAAACTGCCTATGTAGCTACCCTTTTTGGGTGAGCCCACTTCTTGGTCTTGACTGGCGATCTATCGTGCAGTCCCAATCCGTGAGTTTTCCTGACTATAATAAGGATATTCTCCACACGTCAGTGCTCTTTCTCCGTGTTTTTCGCTGCTGATACGCTGTGGGTACAGTCCATCAGAGTTATTCCAGGTCTTTGACATCAGCGAGAACTCCCGAAGAAGTAACATTAGCAAGCAGAGAAGGAACATGGGTGCTTATGTGGACCACGCCAGATTCGACAAATCTCGATGGTAGTTGGCCACTGTCTGTCAGATATGGAAAATTTTGTTACTTCGCACCGTAAACGCAATACAAATGCCGCAGGTGCTCCGTCACAAGGAGTACAAAGACCGAATGTCTAGACGGTGACTAGCCATGATCGACCAGCAGGCACCGAGCGCCAACCTGCGCCGACTTGCTCTTCGAGATGAGTCGACAACGAACTTATCAGTCACTCTTGCAGACTGGTAATCACAGACAGCTTCATCATAGTCTCGTGCTAGTAACAACTGGAGCACTGACTCACAATTCAGGGTATATCAACTCATCAACTGGATGCTTTGACTCGAATATAGCGATCGGGCTCGGGATTCGGGAAATGGCATACGTCGCCACTTCCGCGTTTGCGGCATCTCATGCGATAGCATCGGACAAATCGAGGGTGACTCGAAAGGAGGACTGCGTATTATTTATGGTTGCGGCGCGTTAAGAGGATGGTCCATGATGAAACTTCTGGAATTCCTGACTAGCTTGCTGAGTGAAGTGAGGTCCAGGGCTGCCAGAGCTTGTGGAAGCATGTGGGCACTCGGCAGTGTCATCAGAATTACGTGTGCATGTGTGAAGCGTAGCTAAGCCAAATAAGGCTATCGGATGGTGGCGGTACAGGTTAACGTTTGTGATTTCCGGCATTCGGGAAATTATTTCGGTGGAGTGCCTATTAGGAGCACGCTTGTCAGTAATATTAGTACTAACGTTCAACGCGGCTTGATGCGTCCGCGTCATGCATATGGCTCGGGTATTAGTTTTTTGTACCACCATATATAAAAACCTTCCGTTACCTCCTGTATACTGCCAGTATCTACTCTCACCTTCAAGTTTCCCCTCAGCATGCCTATTCCAGGCGGCTCTGATGACCCCTCTCCCCTCAACCACACCTTACAGCCTCATTCCAATGATACAAGTGCAACTTCATCGATCGATAAGGTCTACCCTACCGGCGACAACCATCGCACTCTGGACGTTAAGAACACCCTCGAAATAACTCCTAATGAATCCGAGCATCGCAATTCTACTTTAACCATAGTTGGGGATGAAGATTTCAACTTCGAAAAACATCTCAAGGACATCATCAAGCGGTGAGTTAGGACCATTTCATGAACGTCTGGCTATGACTGACAATTCATTGTAGACGT